GCCCTGTTGTTAATACTTGTACTCTTTTCTTACAGTTGTGTTCTAGTCACTTAGAAATTTGGAAACTAAAACAGGAAAGCATTCATTACAAAAACTAAGTATATTTTGCACTGAATTAGAAACCAAGACTGTTATGTAGCCATTTGAAGTTCTTTATCACACTTTCTTTAAAAAATTCGACAATTTAAAAAAAGAAGACAATAATCAAGGCAAAGTGCATGGTTGCTGGATTTAAATCAGGATTAGAGGGGGCCTGCCTGTTAGCTCAGTTGTTTAAGCGCCTGCTTACGCAAACGCAGTCAGGCGCAGGATACCGCGGTCCCATCGCCAGCTCCTCATGCCTTACCAGCCCCGCCCTAAGGCAGCCTGAGCCAGCCAAAAAATAAAAAAATTAAAAATAAATAAATCAGGATTAGAAGTAGCAGATACTCCCCAAGATGAGTGCTGTGCACAACAGAAACCGGAGAAGGAGAGGCATCATGTCACAGGTAGCAGCCAGGGCTCAGATTCCTTTCGGTAACAACCTGTTTCATTAAGGAGAAGCAAACGTTAGGAGCTTTCTCAGGACAAGAGATAGGAGGTGGGTAGTGATGGAGTTACCACCAAGATTTACACTGTACCAAGAGCAAGATAAGCAAGCGCTAAAGCCGTTATCTGTGTTCCCTTGCTTGTCATTTTGTTAAGTGTGGGGAGCACACAGGATGTTAGGATGCTTTATGATGCATCACTCCATTCACAGCCTGTGGCACGGAACTCGGAGTAGGAAACGGTAACTTCATGCCTCATCTCTGAAAGTGTCAGCAGAACCTATAAAGAGGGGCCTTTCTACTAAACAGTAGCTATTACATTACATTAAACAAATGATTTTTTTTTTTTTTTTTTTTGAGACTGGGTCTCCCTGTGTGGTGCACAGGCTGCCCTTGAATGCAGAGATCCTCCTGTCTCATGATCCCAGCTGTGTGTGAAGCCCAACACCCGGCCCTAGACAATTAATTTCAGATGGTGTGTCCTGGTTTGGTTTTCGCTGCTAAGAGAAAAATACATGGCAGCTAATGTTGAAGAAGAAAGGTTTACTTAGCTCACAATTTGTAGAGGTTTCAGTTCACACTCGGCTGGCTCCAAGGCAGGGTGGCACGGCAGAGGGGAAACAGCTTGGAGAGGGCAGGAGGCAGCAAGCAGCAAGGGACCAGCCAGAACCCTCTCTGCCCCTTATATCTGACCAGCCCACCCACCCTGAGTGCAGGTAGCACTCACGTCCAGGGTGTGGCGGCCTTAATCCCAGCTGTGCACCACGATCAAGCCCAGCATCATATCCGTGATCCCAGCAGCACACACTGTAGACCCAGGCACCCCCAGAAAGCCCCACCAGCGACCACATGCGGCTTTGGGGGGACATCTAGATACGGCCCATAACATGACACTTATGGAAATAAGGGCATGTGACATAATGAGAACCAGAGACTGGCAGGAGTGACGGCACACACCTGTAATCCCAGCACTCGGGATGCCAAAGCAGGAGGATCCCTGTGAGCCCAACACCAGCCTGGGTGACAAAGTAAGCTCAAGGCCAGCTTGAACTGCACAGTGAGCACCTGTCTCAAAAAGACTGGGGAAAAAAAAGAACCTGTAGACTCCTTTGTGTCTGCTTTCACTCTAGCACCCAGTCCTTCGGGCGCTCTGTGGTCGTGATGGGCTAACACTCAGAGCCACGCTAAGCCAGGATAACAGGCTCTCCCAGGAATCTGAATCATGAGCAGGGACACGCAGGTCTAGGAGGCGAAGAGAATTAAGGCATTTGGAGATGTCACTCACAGTGCTGTCACACCAGTCCTTGCTCCACTCAGTGGCTTCCCTAGGCCTCGCTGTGCAGCGAGTCACTCCGTAGCTTTCTAATAAATCCACTCAACTTCTTTCTTCCTTCAGCCTGCTGCCACTCCATTCTGTCCTTCCCTCATTTAGTTGGTTATTACTGTTATCCATGAACATTATGGATATGTGTACTATTAGACTTCATATATTTTGAAGGCTTAAATTACTTACAGGTCACTTAAGCTACAAAAAAAATATTAAATTTGGTGGTAAGAACTCTCTATTAGGAAGAGCATTAAGGGCTGGCAAGATATTGGACTAAGGGCCTGCTTGGCAAGCACAGGGAGCTGGGATTGGTCCCCCGCACCACAAACCATGCCAGTGCCTGCCTGGCCCCTGGGTGTGCTGAGCTGGCAACCGAGTCTGGGCGTGGTGGCACACGAGTTTGGGCATGGTGACACACGCCTGTCACTGAAGCACTGGGGAGGATGAAAACAGAAGCATCACTACAAGTCAGAGCTGCGTAGTGACACCCTGTACCTATAAACTACACAACAGATTATAAAAAAGTAGGTAGAGTTGTATTCTATCTGAAATAAAAACTGTTACAGAGCTGGGGGTTGGGGTAGCACTCACAAGCAGAGTGCCTGCCTAGCTAGCATGGGTGGGGATTCAGATTCAATCCCCAGCCCAAAAAAAGCAAGAGAGAGAAAGAAAAGAAAGGAAAGCCTGAGAGAATGTTTTCTCTCCATGTGACTCTCCTTAAGCACACTCTACAGGCTTTCACAGAGAGCACACTGGCCAAGCAATGGCCGGGACTCATCCACAGGGCTGACACTGACAAAGGTTCTACAATCTGAGGTACAGGATCTCAGGATAAATCCTGAGGGGATTTCACTGACCTTATCAGACCCAAAAGCTACAACTCTTGTTGCATAGGTCCTGCTTTACCTTGGTCTTAACCATCCAGCAGAAAAGTATAAAAATGAAATATAAGAAGTAAAGCCACGCTGTTATGTTGAGCTGTAGGGGACTCAGGTCAACAGTTTCTGACATTGCCAGTCAAGCGGAAGACCCAATACTATTATGGGCTACTAGACTCTTTTAGAATATTTTGCTGAGTTTACACACCTATAATATTCAAATGACAGAACTAAACAAAAAAGGGAATACAAACGAATGTCCATTTTGTATCTGTGTATTCAAAATGGTTAGGATAGATAGTTACATTCTCTTAATGAGTAGAGGGATTTGTTCTAATAGTGTTTGTAAATAGGACATCATGTCTGCATCTCGTACAGCAATTAACCACTAGGAAGAGAGTATGCAATGTGTTAATTATTGAAACTGTCCTACCAATTTGATTTGAAACTGTCTCATTGCTATTTATCTCTCAATAAAATTATAGGAAAAAAAAGAAAAGAAAAAAGGAGGTAGGAAGGAAAAACAAGGGAAGAGAAAGGGAAGGGAGGGGAGGAGGGGGGAGAAGGGGAGGGAAAGGAGGAACCCAGAGAGCAAACAGCCCATTTGCATGTGTATCCACGCTTCCCTCATCATATATCAGAGCTTTTTAATCGGATTAAAGCAAATAAAAATTTTTAAATGTCTACTATAGGCCATGTCAGACTCTGGGCCTGTACACAGTAAGAGGAATTCTCCACATACTGTACATGCATGCAATACACATGACACATGCATTTACCTCTTCCTAGATTTCAGTCCTAATATAATAATCTCTACAAAAAAGATCTAGCAAATTTTTTCTACTACAAGCAGTAGATGAGTAAACTGATGTTGCCTCTGTCTCTTTTCCAAAATACAAGTGGGATTATTGGATTGCCTACATGTACTATACAGACAATGAGTCAATGCATACAATCATATAGGCATAGGATTAATTTTATAGGGTTGATTCTTTTTGGAACTGTAACTCTTTAGTGTGAGAGCAACAAATAGTCTTTAAAATTCGAAGTTCAAATTATTCATCTTGATCACTAATTAATAAGACTAGTGGAATTTTAATAAAGTCTCATTTGATTACTATCTTTGAAAATTTTACTTTGGAACTCTGGGCAGCCTAAATAATATTTATAACCCAGAGTTATTGTTTCCAAGCCAATTCCTAAGAATGAAACAGAGCGTGAGAAAGCATTTTTTAAATCATGAACATTCTTCAACTTTAGAAAACAAGTCAACAACCAAAGTGTCCTAAAAGCCTTGGTATTCTTTATCTGTTTCAGGGAAAACTCAATGTGCTTTTTTGAATCTGGACATGGAAACACACAGAACTGGAACGACAAAGATAAAAGTGCAAAGAACTCGTGTCCTCTCCGCTCAGGGGCAGAGTCAGACCTCAGGACAAAATGATCTGAGAAATAGTAATACTGCTGCGCACAACCTCGATCTTCGTCAAACAGTTCGTTGGCTAACGTGAGGCAGGAGAACCAAGCTCAAAGTCCAGATAGTGCAAAAAGGGGGCGGGGGAGGGCTGTACCAAAGAGGGCTCGGAGGGTCGCTCTGCCCCCCTGCTGGACGGCGGAGCGCTCGCCCCGGACCGGCCGGCCGCGGAGGGGAGTGGGCGCTGCGGACCCCGCCCGGCGCGGGCGCTCGCATCAGTCTCCCTGCACCCCGCGATCCGCCCGGACCTGGCCGGCC